CTCAGCTTCTCCCCTCTGCTGAGAGCTCAGCCTCAGGGGGATTCACCTTCATTAATTCCTCCATTTCTCTCCTTTTCTGTGCCCTGCCAGGGGAGAGGGATGAGGAGGACAGCAGCTTCCTGAACCTGTTCCACCTGATGAATGCACAGGCCAACTTCCACAAGGAAATCCTCTACCTGGCCATGGGCAGCACCAGCAGCAGCTCCTGAGCTCCACAGAGCCCTGCCCTGTCCCTGCTGGATCCCTCTTTCTTTTCCTCGGAACTTTTGCAGACAAGTCTCAGATTATTTCTGAATTTCCCACCCCAGTAGGAGCTGGGGTGGCAGAAGTTGGGCCCAGCCATGCCAGGCCAGCTGGGTGAGCTCAGGGAGGGCTTGGGCAGTGGGATTCCATCCTCTCTGCTCCTGCAGGGGAGAGGGCTGGGAACACCAACTGCATTCTTTTCCCACTGTGCATGTTTGCACACACAATAAAAATGGCTCGGTTTCCACAGCTGATGTGCAGACACCGACTGGAGCTCGTGTTGTCTTAGCCCAGAACCCAAAACATTCTGAGCTCTTCCATTTGTTTTCTCTTGGGAATCCGAGGAGAAAGGGAGGGATGGGATTTGAGGAGCTGCATTTTTAGATGTCTGACTCAGGCTCTGTGGCAGAAATGCTCCGTGGTTTGTACATTCAGCTTTGGGGAAAGGTGATTTCTTGATCAACCGTGGCATTTCTTCCTCTCAATCTCCAGGTTTTAGAAAGCAAAAAGAAATTTCAAATCTCTCCCCTTGCCCTGGGTTGAAGTGTTTTAGGATTTAGCCAAGTTGAAGACACCCATTAAACACATTAAATTAGAACAGTGGTTCATTAAATGGATAAATTTAAATTTAAATATTTAAACGGAGAAATGTTTGCTTCTCAGAGTTGATTTTCTGCTCTCTTGCCTCCCAGACCAGCCCTGTGATGGCAATAAAAGGCACTCACACCCTGTGTGCTGTTTGCAGCCTCCAGGTTCCTGAAGAGCCACGTTCCCCACCCGAACATTCCCTTCCCAACCCTTCCCTCACACCAGCTTTTCCCACATTTAGCTCGGGAACTTTGGCAACAGCTGCAGCCAGACCCATTTATGTCAGCTGTCCCCACCCGCTCCCATCGGCCGCCACCTGGGAAAGTCTGAGTGCCCAAATTCCCAAATTGCCCAAGTCTGAGTGCCCAAATTCCCGTTTTGGAATCCACAATTCCAGGCGGGATCCGCCTCCGGGACATGCACTGACGGTGGTGCCGGTAGATGGCAGAGGTGGAGCCTTCCCAGCTGGGATCATCCCTTTTTCCCCCTTCTGGCCGCTCAAAGGTGACGTTTTACACATAATTTCTGAAAGGTGAGAAATTCCAGGCTCTGCTTTCCACTCCGGGAACCGAATGTGTCCGGAGCGATCCCGAAAAAACCTCGGTGTGAGAAGGGGAAAACGCCCCCAGGAATCTCCACCCGGGTCCTTGTCTGTCCTTTTATCCTCGGGATGGATAATTCCAGCGGATGGGAGCAGAGCCCGCCCTTTGTGTGTCCCCATCCCTGTCCTGGGTCATTCCCAGGAATCTCCACCCGGGTCCTTGTCTGTCCTTTTATCCTCGGGATGGATAATTCCAGCGGATGGGAGCAGAGCCTGCCCTTTGTGTGTCCCCATCCGTGTCCTGGGTCATTCCCAGGAATCCCAGCCGGGCACAAGGGCGGCCTTTATGAGAGCTCAGCCAGGGGAAAAAAAGGGAAAAGGGAAAAGGGAGCTCTTTGATTCCCTGGAGCAGCCGGCGGGGCTGGAATGTCAATTATTGATGGCTTTATTAATTGTCATTAACTGTCCCAGCGCCTCGGGGACATTAAACCCCTCAGTGCCATCCCTGTCCCAGGGCGCTCCAGGCCCCATCCGGGCTGGCCTGGGACACTTCAGGAATATTTGGTGGCAGTTTTTTGTCACATTTCCATCCAACAGCTCTTTCCTTCCCAAGGGAGTGAAGCCCGGCCCTGCTGCCCTGCCCAGTTTGGGTGAGCTGGGCAATGCCACCAGTTCATGCTGGTTCACCAGAAATGCTCCCTCTTTTTGCTGCTCCCCTTGGATCAGCTCAAACCCTGACAGGATCCAGGTCCAGATGAGCCGGAATGGGGGGATTTGAGGAAAGGCTGATTTTCCTTTCGCTGCCAAATTTTAACAGAGAGGGCAAAAACAGCGCCAGGAGGAGCAAACGCCCCATGCCAGGGTGGCAGGGCTGGATCCTGCCGTGTGCCCCTGCCCTCCTGAGGAAAGGCTGATTTTCCTTTTGCTGCCAAATTTTAACAGCTGCAAGGCAGAGAGGGCAAAAGGCAGGGCCAGGAGCAGATGCCCCATGCCAGGGCCGGATCCTGCCGTGTGCCCCTGCCCTCCGTGCCCCGTTTGCAAACCCCTCTCCTGCCCTGGCTCCCGTTCCCACCGCCCAGCCCTGCAGGAAGGGATTTCTGTGGCAGCTCTGCGGGGCCTGGGAGCCAGAGGAAAGGATCGTTCTGGTTTCACACTCAGTTTCCATTCCTCGCATTCCTCCGCGCTGGCTCTGCCCCCATCCCCGCAGATGGCGGCCCGAGGGAGGGGAGGTTGTTGAGAACGCGATGGTGCCGGCAGAAATTCCTCCCGGAATATTCCAGGCTCCCCATTCCCGGCTATATTTGGTGCTGGAGAGAGCAGCGAGCGGCGTTTCCTCACCTCGGGGGCTCCAGCAACGCCCCGGGGTGAAATCCCCAGCCTGGAGTTTCTCTGGGGAGTTTCACTGGCAGGAAATTGCGGTGTGGAGCGTTCAGCTGGCGGCACTGAGCACATCCAGCATTCCCAGGCTCTCAAATCTCTCTTTTTTTTCCCTCTCCTGAAAGTCCCAGCTGCCCATTCCAGCATTTCCAGGCCCCCTGCTCTCCCTGGATCCTGCTCTCTCACACGCTTTGTGTGATGCTGCCAGGCACAGCTGAAGGGGCACAAAGTTTTCCCCATTATGGATATTTCAGGTGTTTATTGCTTTTAAAAAAAAATAAATAAAACTCTGTGAGACACCAGGAATGTGAAAATTTTGCTCTCTAGGAGGGTGAAACTTTCAGTCATTGCCCGTGAGTGACAGTGGGAGGGCAGGGATGGATGCAGGGCTTCAAAAAAAAAACAGGAAAAATCCTCCTGTTGCCCCAGACATCTCCAAGCGGAGGAAAAACGAAGCTCTGAAATGTTCTTTCCATCCCACAGAAATTTCCATTGCGCTGAAATCTTTCCTTTTCCCATCCAAGGCCTCCTGGAGCTTCCCCAACCACCAGCGAGGGCCCCGAGGGAGGGCTGGGGACCCTCGGGGAGGGGACAGCGTGGTGGGGACCCCTCCCCAGGGACAGCCCCCGTGCTGGGGACACGGAGGCGCCTCGGGCTGCGTTTCCCATCTGTGGCATTGCCGGGATGTGTCCCCACCCCATCCCTGCAGCGACACCAGAGCCATCTCCCCTCTCCCGTGTCATTCCGCTTTATTCCGCTCCCCGAACATCGCTCATCAAAAACAGAAACCGCTGCCTAAAACTGAGCCCGGACGAGCGGCCTCGGACCGAGGGGACGGGACACAAGGGGGGGACAGGACCCTTCCCATCCCCTTGGGGACACCGCGGGCGTCACCGGGAGCATCCCAGGTCCCGGAGCGGGGGGGACTCGGGTCCTGGCAGGGTGAAGGATTCAGGTCCTGACAGGGTGAAGGACTCGGGTCCTG